AAAAAAAAAGACAAATAGTGCATGCCATGCATTCTATACGCAACAGAGAGCGGGTATGAATTTCCATGAGGTACTCAACAGCTATTTACTTTTCAAAAGGGGACTCAAAAGAGCTGATAACGACAATCTATAGAAGAAAACTCACTTAACCAGAATAAATTGAAGGATCGAATGAGGAACTCCTTCCGATGTCGCTTCTGCCCACACCATACACTCACAAATTCGTGCATCAGCAAATTTCCTGAGCTGCGTTTTCTCTTTCCATAGTGATCGGAAACCTGAATGAAATCCATAAAAGTGGCTCGAGTACATCCAGTAGAGCAATTACGATTCGTAAAGCATGATGGCAAATTTTGAATACCTTTGGAGGCCGGATCCGTCGCCACAGGACCAACAGTTATTGGATTCGACCATTCCCGCTTAGTTCGAAATCCAATCAAATATGTAGCGTTGCTTTGCTAGAGCACTCTTCAGTAGAGAGAAGTACTTAATGTTCACACAAACGTCAAAAATCCTAGCCGAGAAACGTACCCTTTCGTGCTTCAAACGACTGACTTGGACGTTATCAAAGCGTTCGCCAAAGCACTCGTGGATTCGCTGAAAAAACGGTCTGAAGTGGTCGAAATAAAGTTGCAATGTAAATGGTGAGTTGAAATTCGCAACAGTTAATTAATCCAGAAAGTCTAGTCAAAATGCCTTTAATAAATATTTGAAGGGATAAAAGTAGTTCAAGAGCAAATTGCAAAGAAGAAAAAAGAATTGACGAGAAAAGAAACTGCGCTTTGCGCTTTGAAAAAGAAGAGAAAGCCTTTCAATTGATACTAGTTCATTATTACCTTCATGAATTTCGACATGAACTTTGCAAGGCGATCGTCTTCATCAACCGTGTCAACAAGTAAGTCCAGTGCTTTGAAGAGTGTCGTAAGATTTTCCGACGTTAGTTCTAGTCTGTAACCATAAAAAGTGACAATATGGCAGATGTAATCGAAAAAATTTTCTCATCTACCTGAAATAGTGGTCAAATGACGAAAAGAAATGATGACGTTCAAGGAATAGTGTGTCAAAAGCCAGGCAATCTCCTAAAACCAGGAGCGACCGAGCCAGGTCTGCCTTTACCTGCAAATCAAACAACACAAGCTTACACATATTTAACATAGACTATGCAAGGAAACGAACCAGCACGAGCGATTCCTTAGGTATTCCGCTCGCTATGTTCCAATATCCAGTGTGATCTAGGAAAACAACAGGGAAACTAGCAAGGTGAGCTGAGATCACATCATCTTCGAGATCATTGGGATGGAATCCAGTAGGAGAAGAAATATCCCAATTGACTGAATGAAATAAGCACTTTTGTATGTTCATTTGTCTCAGGAAGCAGACTGGAGCTCACCTATGGCTACAAAGAAATTTCGAAGCAAGGTGAGCAGATCTTGCTGATTGACAACAACATTCTCCTCTAGCAGCTTAACCATGAAGCATGCCAGAAAGATGGGATCAAACCAAAATATTTTCAGTTAAAATCAAAAGCAAACAGTATCACTTTGATCGCTTCATCAATGGTCTATGTCATAAACAAAGGGATCAAACAAATAAGTGTACAAATGACCAACAAATACAAATATTTCGACAAGGTCAGCTAAAAAAGGCTTACTAACCTCATGATATCCTCGGCATGTAAACCACCGATTCACGAGGGCAAGTGCTGCTGTAACGGTTTCCTTGTGCCGAAGTTCTGCTGATACTCGACGTATAACCGTCGATTCAAGTACGGTACGCAAAATTCGCTGATTATAATACGGAGTAGCTTCTTCATCTATAAGGAATTTATCGCATCATTCTACTCTTCAGAAATTCTGGTACCTTCACAAAAGAAACCAAAAGAAATGCATAGGGAAGAATGCACTAAATTAAGGATTTGTTAGCTGAAAAATAAAACAGCAAACTAATACTATGACAGTTGAGAACCAACCTTTACTTGTAATATTCTCATAAATTGTAGATGCTCGTAGGTTAGAGACGTTCGGTGAAAAGCGAGAAGGCTTCGCTAACGCTGATTCAGAAGCACCAAAATGTATCAAAATCCTTCCTGAGCCACTATTATCTAAAAACTCAAATTGACGTCAATACTTCAAAAAGAAGCAAAAAGATGGAGAACTTGGGTGAACACATAAGAGCCCCCATTATGCAACTATTAGAGGAGAGAAAGAAAATTTGTGTAAAATGAGCTATAAAGTTTGACAAACCTGTGATTTGAAGGTTAGGAAAAAGCTTGTCAGTGGCAAAACCCGGCACAATATCGACAACAAAATCGCAGAAAGCCTTTCGTAGTGCAACAGTCGAACTGCACATATAATGCGCACGTTTAGCCGGATAAATAAGATTTATATAATCCCTCTTTCCAAATAGACTCTGTAATACCAGCATATTCATTAGAAACCCACATCATAGACACGAATTGCAATTTCAAATTGAAAAACACTAATACTGCCAAACCTATCACAAAGAAGAGGCATGAAAAGCATATAAAAAACTTTAGGTTCCAAAAAAAATGCCCACGAAAGGAGAACAAAGAGATCAACTCACATCGGGCAATGTGACGAAAATATTTATGGTAAAACAATTCGAGCATAACAAATCGATAGCTGACTCGCTAAGAATGGTAACCTAAATTGATGTATTGAAATTTCATAAAAAGAAAGTTCAGCAGATTAAGTTTTCCTAATGAACCTCTTTAGGTGCTTTCCATTCGTAAGTTAAAACGCTTGATGTTGTTTTCTCAATGGCACTAGCATACTCCACGAGTGGATGAGTAATTCCACGTTTTGACCATGAATCCAAATGCTTGTACTGAAAAATTTTAGATTGCCATTTCTCAAATCACGGTCGAAATTAACAGCTAAATTTGAATACAACCCGAGAAACCTATATATAAGCGTTTTTACCTCACAATGATGCTTTAATTTCACACCCTTAAGTGTGGCTGCTACCTTCCTCGCCAGCTCCTCCCATTTGACAATAACATTCGAATCCGGTTGTCGCTCACGTTCAGCATCATCGCACTTAAACAAAGACAGAAATATTTACGCCTAATAAAAGAGTTATCTCTCATCGAAAAGAGTTATCTACTTCAACAAAAAATATAGCAAAAGTGTTGTATAATGTGAAACTCCGAAAACTGACAGTAAAAAAGGATAAGAAGCAAGTGTAAACAGAACCAGCTAATCAAATACAGTTACAATATTGAACTTTCCCCCTAAATCGGAAGTTCTTTCCTTCATCCACCCACTTTCCCCCTCTTCCCTCTCCATCCACACTCAGCTAACTGTTGAAAGCTTGCTTCAGAAGTGAAGACTAAGGAAAAACATGAAACGCAGTTAATAAAGCCCCTAAGCTTCTGTGAATCACGATAACCCTCTTAGAGACGCCGTAATCCAGCAAGCTTCTTGTCTAGCTTTCGTGATTAGTTCACACCAACAGAAGGTGATAACTTTTCTTCTCCTCGATATAAAAGAAAGATTGTAAAGTCTTTCTTAAGGAAGTGGAAATACAGTACCAGTTTTGCGCTCAGGGACTGTCACTACACAACCTATATCTATCTCTATCCCTTTAACCATTCATTCCAATGAACAAAAAGCACTCGACTTTCCAAACATAAATATCAAAGTAATTGGCACAATTGGATCAATGTCAGTGAACGATTTGTAACGGAAAATCGCAATCGAATAGAACGTTTGGAATGACTCACTTGTAGCCGAAACGCATTCGTCATCAGCTTTCCGGGTAACGAAACATCATCTTCCTCATCGGGATAGGCTCTTTTCATAATGCCACCCTGCAGCAGAGTCACGAATGAAACAAAGTTCAAAAATACACTTTCATGTCTGAACTATGTTTACACTTCAACATCGCTAAAATGAATCTCGAAACTGGCTTTCATACATGACATTAGAGGATGTTGTTGGAACCAAACAAAATTTTGGAAGGAGCGTATTGTAGAACATTATTCACAAATGATTTTAAATCGCTGCAGGAAAGACGTGAGTTTTTGAAAGTCCGTTTTTGTGAAGGTTTACAACGGCACGGCATGAAATAGAGGCAAAAACAAATCTGGGAAAAAAGGACGTGCATGTCGACAAATGCTGTGCAGTCATGTGCGACAACGGAGGCTGATGATCGCCCAGAGACAGAACACAACGTTGACCTGTCAAAGCAACTATAGCGTTGGCAGTTATGTGTGAGTCCCGTATGAGGGATGCGCCATGTGACTCCATTCGACATACATTTAGAATCGTTGTGGCAGTTTGGATGCATACGTGACCCACAGAATGACTTGTGGTGGTCAGCCGCTATACAAGTCAGTACTTTTTCAGTCTGGTGCCAATTGACAGACCCCGGAGGGATAGAAGGTGCATTTCGCCCAGGCGGATATTGATTCGGGATTCGATCCCAGGGCCATACTGTGTGATATCACTACACTACCTCTGCCATATTCAATAATGTATTGAACAAAAAATTTCAAGGGAAATGACTCTAAATATAAATCATATATGAAAGCAGGAGAAAAATACGCACTCAGATAGCTGCCAATCTAATCAAATTACCTCACTCTACAAAAAAAATTGAGTAGGCCCCCCACTTCAGTTGCCCGAAAATGAAACTGAAGTGTGCCACACCACAAAAAACGGATCAATCAACAAATCGATCCAAGTTTCCCTCTCCTCTGAACCCTTCCCTTCCCAACTTCTCAGTCCCATTTACTGCAGTGGGAGCTGGTCAAACTCATAACGTGTCCATCAACTTTTTGAGAATAGAAGGCAAAAAATTCAAATATGATTCGCTTAACTTTATAAAATGAAGCATCAGAGCGAAATCGTTGTTATAAACACAAAAATTCTGTTTAATTGTCAAAAATTTACTACTATCACACAATAATCAAATACCATACAAATGCTGAGAATCACGTAATTTCACGAAGAGCAGTGTTCCTTTTTACATACAGAAGACCTTATGCTGAATGACAAGGGGATTTCATCACATTCGTACGAAATAGTTATGCTCACTGGATGAATTGAAAGAAACGAGTCTCTTTCATATACAACTTCTATGAGATAACAAAAAATCACACTAGAGAACTGACATAGTGGAACTTCACAACATTCGAAATAGACAACCACTCATTAGTAAGAACAATAACAACGATGACCACAAAATATATAATGCTAACAAACCTGACTGACGTCTTTTGAAGAGGGTAACACAAAGAATATGGTAATCAAGACAACTTCAAAGAATGCATTTAAGCATTAAATCGATAAAAACGAGAAATTTGGAGAAAGAAAACAAGAAGCACTGGTAAATCAAACCCACAGATGATAAGGGAGCAGAGCTGAATGTCATAAATTAAAAAAAAAGAACGCAGCTGCATGGACACTACATTTTGAAATCTTTTACATGTATTATTGTACACAGTGATATGTTGACGATATGTAGTCCGAGCTATGTCTGCAGGCAGTTCGAGCCGACTTTCACAGCTTCGGTGCACCTGGTGCACTACTGCGCATTGCTCTTCACCTCGTATGTTATTCGTGAGTTCCCGACAATCAAAATCAAATCAGGTTACAAGTACAAGTCTGTATGAAAGAGAAGAATCGGTCAATTAACCGTAAATCAGCAATGTCCGTTATCAACATGAAGAAGTCGGGCAGTATCAGATGACTGCCGAGAGTGTGTGGGAGACCTGAAAGACTGGGCGTTTAAAAAAAAGGGTTAGCTACAACAACATCAAGTAAAAAGATCCAAGTCCCTTACTCAGTCTGCGCATCATTTGTCGGATAATTCACTTATCTAAAGCCTCGGATAACCCCTATGAAAGCTAAAGAGCTTTTGAATCTCATCTCAAGTGTTGGGGCGAAATTTAAACATTAGAAGTCTACAAAGGAGCCATATAAAAGACTTCCAGCACCTAAACAATGTCTGACTATCGCACTGTGCTTATGAAAAAGCCCAATCGCTCTTCTTCTTTTGAATTGGAAAATACCCATAGAGGCCAAAAGTAAGTACAAAGCATAAAGTATAAGATAATCATAAGCAAAATAGGAGACTCCAGAAGGCACTCACCTTCGAAGGTACTTGCTTGCACCAGGTGATGTGGGCAATGCAGAATTAAACATAAGTGCTAGCAAGACCAACATTGCTCCCACTAAAAACGGTGGGCCTGGTATTAGCTGCCATGTAAACGCAGGTCGTTCTGCCACCTAGAACGAGCACTGTCTAGAGGAAAAAAAGTGGGAAAAAGTGGTGATAAAGACTGAGATAAGCACCCACCCAAAGAGTATCGTTTCTCGTTGGTGTCAAAATTTTCTCCTGCGGTTGCGCCGGACGTATCCGTACAAGAGGAAATTGTACGGCGTGACCACCTGTTGCTTCTCCATCAACATTCAAGTCGACATCAAACAAATAGAAGATGAAGCCGAACAACGCTGGACCGAACCCTAAACAACATGAATAAACGAACGATCAGCTCGCTTACGGTTCTTTTGCATTTTTAAATGAATGTATGGTTTTTTTTACTCACCTTGACAGAGTCCTCTGATGCCTGTCACCACACCTTGCACAGTGCCTTGTTTATCCTTATCCGATAATATGCTAACAAACGCGCTTATTGAAGGGTACGTTATACTACTCATGGCTGCCAGTATACCCGCCGCCCACATCATCCAGTATCTGAATGGAAGGCATGCAAGTATGAGAAAGAACACTCAGGAATTCCAAGGAAGGACGTTGACCAATTAGAAATTTTGTTACTTAAACCGACAAGTGGTAAACAGAATGAACAGCAAATAAGAACCAAAACACTGAACGACAAAATTACGCCTAAATCAGAAAAAACTCACTGTGTTCCAAGCCCGTACCAAGTGAGTTGCACTAGTTGAAAAATGAGACCTAATGTGATTACATGCTTCATTCCAAAATACGTAGTCAGCACTTGTAATACTCCTGTCTGTGCTACCACTGATAGAATTCCAACCAGACCAATGAATGCTGCCACGGCTTCTGGCGAGAACCCAACAACCTGAAGCAATTAACTAGTATTCAATGACACTATTATGAAAACGAAAAATATTCCAACACCGCCAATCACTTAAGCTCAGAAAGGATATAATCGGATGTTAGCAGGACTACGGAGGAAACAATCTAAAAATCAGAATTAATCTAGAAAACCGTCGTTTTCGACAAAGTAGCACACAAACCCTACATAGCGAACACTTTAAAAAAACACCCGGACTAAATGAAGTTTGACGTTCTGCAGAAGCATCTATAAATCTTTCAAGCTCACCAATTTCAAATAGACGAAGAAACATGAAAATTGACCCGATTCTGGTAAATATGAGAGAAAAACGATAAGAGCCAATTGAAGCACCTGAACATTTACCAAATTAGCATTAGCAACAGAAAGTGCTCGATAGACATTGAGATTCACTAACCAGACTGTCCTCCCAAACGAGACGTAATGTGCCAAACGGATCAGCGCTTTCCCAGCTAATCACGTCGTTCGCAGAACGCTTCGGAGGCAGCGATTCTGGGACACGAAACAGGATGAAGAGCACATCTATTATTGCGATAATAGTAGCCTAAAACATCTGTATCTACAAAATGCGTTAGCTAAGAAAATAAGCAAGGTTTGGGGGAGTAACTGAACCAGAAGACTATCGATAACACGGGCAACGCGAAACGCAGAGAGTTACTGAACGAATCAAGTTCTGTGTCGCTTTTTTCTGTGGATTAGCTTGCGCGCTTCACTGATCAATGCGTTCATCTAACAGAAAAAAATGAAACGGGTAGAGCTCCTTCACTGAACTTTGAAGGATTACCTCGACCACTTACAAACGTGCTGCTGTGGCTTAAGTGCTCACCCATGACTTCAACCCCAAATCATCGGATAGGCGCTACTTGGCACTATTCTCCCCTTCTCAATGCATTACATCACAACCTTGGTGATCCAAACCCAGCAACGCTCGGGGTTCTCCAAAATCAAGGTTTAGAGTGTTAGTTGAACGCTTCATAGCAGCAGCATTCTCGCAGAATCTTAAGAACTGTGCAGGTTGTAGTGGGCTACAGTTTCACAAACGCAATGCTCGAAAAAATTGCCCCGCAGAAGAGGAACATACCAATAAAACAACAGCGCCATCACCGTAACTATCCGATATCCAAGCTCCCAGAGCCGGTGAAGTCACTAATGAAGCAGCAAATGTAGCAGAAACTAGCCCGTATGCAGCGGAGCGGTCCTAAATAAACTTTCCTCGAAAGGAATCAATTATGAATCACAAAAAATCAAGAGAACATTTAACAAGCTACATGAAAAAACTTTGTGGGAGGATCGAGGAGAAATTCATTTAGTTCATCGATAGTACCTGTTTCTCAGTTATATCAGCAACATAGGCAAGAATAACGCTGAATGTAACCGAGAACAAGCCACTTATACTGAACAACGCAAAGTACCACCTGAAACAGTACTGCCTTTAATAGGGAGATGCCCAGGAACAAATTCTCTGATGGAGCAAATTAAGACTTTCGGAATTTCGGAAAGGAAATCTAACTAGGTCATAAGGAAGAAAAGGCTTCGGGTAACCTACCAAGGACTTATTTTCAAACATGGTATAGGCATACACGTACAAAATACCGTCAGAATCAGGAAGAGTTTTCTGCCGTATACATCGGACAAAGCTCCAACTAAAGGAGCACTCAAAAACGACAGAATTCCCTAAAACATGCAGATGATTTTCAAAAGACAGACTCAGATGAGAAGATTTAAAAAAAATTATCAAAGGTGCTAGAATGAATTCCGAAGCAAAATTTCGACAAAAGACCTTCTGCGACCTCACCTTAATTCCAAGCACCAATCCATTCATTAAGAACTTATTAGTTGGAAAAGTTTCTGCCAAAACCTAAAGACTTTGGGAATAGGGTCCAATGTAAGGCACGGTTAAGACAAAAACAAGTAAACTCACATTGATTACAGGGACAGTCAACAGTCCCCATGCAAAATATTCGAGAAAAATGACTATCAGAGCATGTGAAATTGACGCCTCGTTTTCGAGACTATGACCATGATCGTCTCTATCCTTGGGCTTTTTACGACCAAATATGAGCGACATTATTGACCGACTTTTTCGTAGCATTGTTCTCTGAAATCAATCCGTTAAATGAAGGACCACTTAGCGAAAGGCTGGAGATTTTAATGGGCAAGATTCAGAAATTGGTCCCTTGAAGTTCATTACTTTCCCAAACACAAGAACAATACAGCCGATTTTAGATAAAGGTGGTGCATATCGGACAGACAAACTAAATCAAACATGGCGTGACATTTGAATACAAAGAACCTCAGTCAGTACTTCAGTCTTGATTTTTTAATTTGAGAATGTATATCAAAGGAGAAGCGATTATGCGCTTATCGAAGGCTCTGCATGAGTCTTCAGCCGTTGACTCTGCCTTGTAGGAGATTTGCGATTAAAATGACTATTGATCGAAAATTCGTTTTAAAAACACGCGACAGTTGTCATTCCTGTCGTTTTTCTGCTCATGTTCCCTACGATCAAGTACAACTTTGGAGAAAAGATGTAAAAGTAGATGAAATTTCGAACTACAAAAAAGATTTTCCCACAAAAACAGTGTGAACAGGACAAAAATGACTTAGCAATGGATGAAAGTCGATATCAAAATCAGCTCATGTCAGCAAAGTGCGAGCGCTGTATGAAGACCAGTCCCCGAACGACTAAGAAAAAAAAAACGGCAAAGCGCTAGCAAAGCGGATAGCTGTGACCGGTATCTTATCCATTAAAACCCGGGCTTAAGTGGACCATTTTAAACGGAATAAAAGGAACTCTTATATCGGGCTGAGGCTGCATTAGAATTTTCTGAAGAAAGCATAGTAAAGCGCGTTTGATGAGCGCGCCCCAACAACTGGAATTACAACCCAATCAAGGGCAATTCTGTAATTCTTTTGCCTTGATTCTCAACCGGTTGTATCTGAACTTATGACTATTATTTGATGCAATCACACAATAGTGCATGACTCCAGTAGAGCGAGTAAGGAACTGTTAAATTCCAAAAATCGATATAATCAAGGTCAATTGAATGCGTTTAGAACGTATTTTATATCATTGTTACTCCTAAAATGCCGTGTTTTATCTGTCCACCATCTGAAAAACGCCTGTGCTTACAGACATTCCAATATAAGGTATTTGGATATCAATGAAGCCTTTAATCGCAAACTCGAATAAAACGGAGCGTGGCGAGGTTGTGGTCAATAATCAATAGTATGGATCAATCGTGATGACGTCACAAATGTAAGGATTTATTGTTGATTATACGCCGGTGCTATTTCCAATATCACTCCTAGCCCGTAAAGATATTCATCGTTTGCCCGATACATCATCGACGCCAAACCCGATGATGTCAGCGTACTGATTCGAAAACCGCCTTCACCCTTTCCACCGCTGAATGTGATCCCGTTCTCACCCTTATATACGATGATGCAACCGCCCATTTCTTCCCTCAACTTGAAATCTTATATGTGCAAGCAAAACGTAATTCATTCCCAACAGTAAGTTTGAAACAATATTTCACCAAAAACGCTTGGCGTGCAGGACGCCGTAGTGGAACGGTAAGAGCGATNAAAGATATTCATCCTTTGCCCGATACATCATCGACGCCAAAACCGATGATGTCAGCGTACTGATTCGAAAACCGCCTTCACCCTTTCCACCGCTGAATGTGATCCCGTTCTCACCGTTATGTGTGATGATGCAACCCCTCCCGTTTCTTCCCTCATTTCGAAATCTTACATGTGCAAGCAAAACGTATTCATTCCCAACTCAACAAGCCTTCCCAACAGTAAGTTTGAAACAATATTTCACCAAAAACGCTTGGCGTGCAGGACGCCGTAGTGGAACGGTAAGAGCGATCAACAATTTCAGAAAAAGTTTTATAACCCGTCGATGATCGGTAACATAACAATATTGTTAGTGAACTAGATGGCAATAAGAGTAATTGAGTCAGAAGGAGTCAAGTTTGAAGGGTCGGTTTTATCCAAAGAACTTTTACCTGTTTATACTGCCTACTCAGCGAGTTAAGGTTTCTGGCTCTTAGCCTACTCAGTCCCGCTGGGGTAACGTTAGCGCTAAACGGCAGTCACTGGCTGATTCAAAGAACAGCTTCATACTCGCAAAACTACTGAGTCTTTCAAACGTTCTGGCGTCAATCAAGCCTGTCTGAGGGGGATGTGCTCCCACATTCGACTTCAAGTCAGAATTATCGTGGCGTATTGAATGAGTATATGGTCCACACAATGGCCAGCGGTGGTCAGCCGAGTGCCTAAAGTCAGTGCCTTCTGTCCTCTCAGACGAGTATGGTACCTTACCCAATCTCGGATGGATGGAAAGCTTGATTGGCCACGCGAAAATCGATCCGGGGCTCAAACCCGTGACCATGCGCATGTGATAGTGCGGTATTTGTCACTACTCCACCTGCGCTCTCGCATGACTATCATACATTATTAATTTGAAACCCCTGAAAAAGCCCATCTACTAATGGTGGAATGCTAGTTGGACTATATATAGCGCTGAGAAGCTCGAATAATTAGCACTTACGCTAATAAAATATTATATCTAACACCTCTGAGATTGTGAATCGACTTCGCTGCAGATTCATAAGCAATCACTCTAAATTAAGGTAACAGAATCTTTTTTGCCGGTTACGAGACTCATACGCGGGGCAATTTTTCCTAATCTGCAGGATATTAATCAAAGTAACCCGTGATCGAACCATTAATAGGAAAACTAAAAAGTTCTAAATGGTTTTCGCCACTCACTTTACACTCACGACGAAGACATTGGTAAATGACTATGAGACAGTTCAAGCACACACGGATCCTTGAAAAAATAAATTTGCTCATAGGTTACAAACACCTCAAAAAGTATGATTTGAGAAAAATTCTGCTATGAACATATCCAACACGACTGTTAAGTTTATACATATAGCCTTGGGTTCAAACTCTTGCCAAGGAAAGATTATCAATATTGGTGACAGGATTAGTGTGATGCATTTTAATTCCCCTTTCACTTATGATGAATCTATCGATCGATTCCGGACACCCTGAAAAATATTTCAGAGAACAAATGAAAATAGAAGAATTCAGGTAGTGCCCCCCCCCCCCCCCCCTCCAACTCCTGAGATCGTCTTGAGAGCGACTGCAGTAGCTCATCATCTTCAAAAACCCTCTTGTTTCTTGACCAAAGGAAGTCGCCTTGCTCAAAAACATTCATGGTGCTCGTAAGGCACTGCAGACTGAACCTTTCCGTTTGCTCGATTACTGACCCCTTTATCTCATCATTCTGTGGCCCGGACAAAATCGTACACGAAATGCCGCGTGAATGATGCCTTTCAGAAACTTCGAATGCGCAGAGTAAGTTCGAACTAGTAGAGATAAAAAAAGATAAAATCAAAGTGGATGAATGTAAAAATTGCAACGATATCTACATGCAGTGGCCTGTTAGAATCATCAAAGTATGAGAAGAAGTAGCGTCATAGGGCATGAACGGTACCCTTAAAAGCGCACCTTTTAGTCCTACGATAAAAAGAAGAGCCACGGGCATGGTAGGTCAGGAAAGAAAATTATGGAACCTACGATGATAAGGTTATCGCGACGTATAATGTCACTCTTGAGGTAACTCTTCACCTCCTGAGGTCGCAAGGCAGGAGTAGATCAATAAAGAAACGAGTAGCAGGCAACCTCCGAGTAGAAGAAGACAGACCACCGACCTCAAAAGGATACAAAGCCCTCCCGTCAGGCAACAAAGAATCCTGAAGGTGCGTAATTATGAGCGAAAGTATACATATGTAATTGTGATATGTGATAGAAGTCGTAAAGACAGAATCAGGAGGCAGCCGCTACTGGAGAGAACAGTGACGTAAGGGATGGTGGGCCATAAATGGTCTGCTGAACGAGAAAACTTCTCATCTCTATGCCGTTGCTTTACCCTTTGCTTTTGAGACGCTTCCGGAGCATGTCAGCACCTTCTCTTACTTCCTTTGCATCTTCCACACCTGAAGTGATCCGCTATTCTCACAAAAAGGATTCGAATCCATGTTACGCGGCAATCTATAAAGACACAGAACCCTTGGTAAATCAATGTAATCAACGTATTTAACGTTCTGTTTGAACAGATTGGCAGATTGGATGCCTCTAGGAGGCTTCATTGAACGAACAACCATCTTCGGTGGACAAAGCCAATAAAAGGACGACAACAATGCTGCATCGAGCTATGACTTGCATTGATGAACGTCATACTTGTCCTTTTCCCAAAGTGAAACCTCTACCTCTGCTGGTTCCATCGATTCTCAAACAAATGACAGGTCACATCTCGAAACAAGACGCATTGTCCAATGTTAGAAATGGGTGTCGCTACATCATAGCTACAAAAAGTGTTCTTGGCTTGACTCTGATGCAAAGTGCATTTTAACTGCACGTGAGCAAGTGCTATTATATAAAAAAAAGAAAACTCATGTCAAACTCATCAGTCGTGACCGATCGAGGAAGCAGCTCTCACAGCTTTTAAAACATGAAAACTCTATCTTCTATCGCATCTCTCATTACACTCACTTCCAACATGCTTGGCTACGTCACAAACTATGAGGAAAAAAGTTATGTACATAGAAATTCCCGATGAAAATGGAAGGGGCAAAAAAATGGCATTTATGTGAATACGCCTCCAACAAATGACGTCATCACTGTGGTGAAAATGTATCATACTAAATAGTGTAAGCAATAAGGGAGAAATTTTATTAAAGCGATTAATTTCATGTGGTTCAATAACAATTACAGATGAAAAGGAATTACTGAAGTTGGTCTGATTGTTCTAATAGTCATGCTTTTCCTACAAACGCACTTTACTGCTACTTATCTGTGAACCTGATGACGAAAGCAGGAGCTAGGGTTTGCCATTCGGAGATAACGTTTAATGACATGAAGAAATAAGTTCAGCGTGCAAAAGTTCGCGCGCATAAAACCTTATGGCAGTGAGTTTACGAATGTACGAAATAACATCCAGCAAGCTTCCCATATCGAGGAGGAAGGGAGATGTGATGAATCATACAAGAAGGGCAAATTCTGTACAAAGGG